TTCTTGGGGTGACAAATAGTGAAACATTCTGCCACCACAATAACCTTCCCAAGCCTCTCTCCCTTTGAAGAAACCCAACACTATATTATACCAAGAAAGTAAAAAAAGAAAAGAATACTAGACTTTGACTGTTTTGTCTCTTTCAAGCTTTCTGGAATTATCTTAGTCTCAGATATCTGCTTATTTTGCAAAAACTAAGCCAATGCAGTATTGTCAGAATAAAATAAGGAACTTATACATGCCTATTCAGCACATATACAGACTCAGGCAAAACACATAAACATAAAATAAATTGAATAAATATATTTTTAACTCAGGAACTAACTTTTATGACTTGGCTCACTTTATAAAATTTTATTTATTTTTATTTTATGTGCAATGGTGTTTTACCTGTGTGCATGTCTTTGTGAGGGTGTCAGCTACCATGGAACAGGAGTTACATTCAGTTGTGAGCTGCCATGTGGGTGGTGGGAATTGAACCAGGGTCCTCTTGGAAGAGCAATCATTGCTCTTAACTGCTAAGCCATCTTTCCAGCCCCTTGTCTCACTGTTTAAAGTAATAGCTTTAACAAAATATTCAGAAGTGTGAAATAAATCAGCAAATATATTTTACCATTTTATAAGTGAAAACTTCCACTCGTCATGACTCGCTAGCTACAATTGCAATAACTTCCCAGAAAAGGAAAAGATGCCAAGGCTGTGGACCTGATGAATTAGGCCAGGTAGGTATCTTCCAGGAATGATGGACCTGACCTTCTCACATTGTAGCTAGCTGGGAAGCTAAATGGCTGCATTCAACTTGAAAATTCTAGGGTATTCTTAATAAAAGCCCATACTTTAATACTTTTCCTCCACCTGACTTCTAGCAGAACATTTTTAAGAGTATGCATTTATCAAATGTTAATTTAAGGTAAAAAATAGTAAGGAGGAGGTGTGATTATCTAGTTATTTAAACTCAAAGCTATGACAAAGAGTTAAAGATTCTCTTAGAAAAGTCATATTTGAACTATTTGATACTTTGTATCACTATGAATAAACTTACCTTGAACCTTTATGAAACAGATGAATGACATTTTTCAATAGTAGGATTTACATGGGATAGGAGATTCATATTATGGATATAGAGAGATGGACAGGTATTTTTTTAAATCCCCATAGTACAGTTTTAGAAGGTCTCTGATATGTGCTAATATCCATGCTTCAGGGGTGTATGTAGTTTTTCTTGGATTTGAAGTTTTAATTTTCACTTCATCAGTCATTTGAAAAGTTACAACTAAAATGAAAAAAATAGTTGATGTAGGAGAAAGCAACTGGAGTCAAGTCCTGTTATTGGCGTGAGCAGCTGTTTCTCCTCCAGCAAATTCCTAGGGCTTGCACTCCTCCCAAACAGAATAGTAGACAACATGAGAAATTTCCCAGGCAGCCTTGTAGTTCCTGACTTGAAAGCAATTCTGTTATGGCAAAGTTTTGACAGGCATTGAATCGTCTTACTTGGGTCTCCAAGGAGATGCTGAACGTCCAGGATGAATGTTTGATTTAGCTCAGTCCATCACCATTTGGGTTACTTTTAGAACCATAGTTAGAGCCACAGAAGATGTGTTGTTCTTCAGGGAAATAAAATGGCTGAACATACTTGTATTATTTTGATGAGCTGGACTAGCGAGACCAAGACTCAGAGTTTTAAACATAGAAACCATGTGCTTTTTGCTGAATTACCATATAGGAAGAATAAACATTTCTTTCTCTTCAAGCACTGTTTATGCATTTCACCAGAAACATGATTGATCACACGCAAGCTGGGAGGCAATGATACGCATGTGTGAGACCCACATAGAGTAACCCACATGGAGAAATATCCTATGGCACAACTATTAAGAATGACTTCATCAGAGTGTTCTTTTCCTCCAAGGAAAAATATATCTTTTAATAACTGAATAATTCATCTATTTTGATTTTTCAGACTAGATTATGATGTGAAGTTACTGCAGTAGTACAGGAAATCAAGTTTGATTTTGTAATATAGTCAAATGAGTACTTTAGAGTGCAATGTCTGCGATCAATAAGGAAGCTGTAACTACATTTACTGTCAGATGATGATATTGATGTAAAAACATAATGGTCGAAATTATAAAATCAATTTCAATAATTTAATCAGAAATGTTTATTGATACTGTTAAAGTTGAATTCAATAGCTTCTAGTATGTAGTTAATTTCCTACCTGTCAGAAAAATGTATTGAAATGCTCTTTCTTGAAAATGGAGTTAATTCAGTAGAGAAAGCAGCAAACTTTCATGCTAGGAGAGAGAAGAAATCATTCTCCAGGTCTTGGTGAAGGCAAATGCTGGAAGCGTGTGTGTGTGTGTGTGTGTGTGTGTGTGTGTGTATGTATATGTGTATATATGTGTATGTGTATATATGCATATATATGTACAAATATCTATATATCTTATGTTCCCAAATTGTTGGGATAACTGCCTCTGAAATGGCCAAAGTGAGGAGTTGAATGCTCATTGCAATACTGCAGGGATGAGCAAGCAACACATGTGTAGAGATGTGTGGATGCTGTGTGCTGTGTAGGTCTTTGTGAAACGATATTTATTTTAAAAGCTGATAGAAAGATTAAGCTCTAAGGACTGGAATCTGGCGTTTTAACTCTTCCACAAGCTCTTAATTATGATTTTTTTCATATTACACTGAAACTCTCCTAACTGAAGCAAAAGTTACTCATGGGAATATCTGTAGGTGTGATGTTTATGTTTCAAGTAAAGATTTTGTGTCTTTTGGGAGCTTGTTCTCTTTACAAGAGATACAGACCAAATTTTGATGGCTTATCAATTAATTGGATGTGTGCCGTGGTAAGTAATCTAAATATTAAATTCTGTATGATTATTCAGAAATTGTCTATTTTCCTATTGTGTAGTGGAGTTGCATTTTCTTATAACAACATTCAAAGGATTTCACTAGCTGGTTAAACTATTTTCTGGGTCATTTGCTTGCTCTCCTATTGCACTTTCCACTTTGGAAGTGAAACTACATTTGAACTGCCTTCCAATGGTCCATGCTCTTTATTTTTCCACCATATAATTCTCAATTATAACATCAACCTGGCACTTTGAGCATTGACTCATAACATAGTCTGCCTTTTACTTGTATGCTCTTTTTGGCATGTTTTGTTTCCCAGACTAAATTATTTGATCTCCAAAAGCTGGTACTGAGTCAAATATCCTCCAGAACATTAAGTGACTAGGTAATTGCATATCATATTGTGGCTATTCAATATCTGATCAACTGAATGTTTCATAAACTGTGAAGATTAGAATTCTAGTTGCTTAATTTGGAATGCAAACCTGTTGGGCAGTGAAGGATGTTTCTTTCAATTAACTCTTAATTGGAATCAGAGAATTTTGGAAATTTTATTTCCATTGTGCAAAGGGAATCAAAAGTTTAGATAATTCTCAGCATAACAGACATTATTAAATTCCTAGTCTCTTGACACATGCCTTTTTTTTTACTATACCAAGATGATTCCTAAGAAACTAATTTGTATTTGGTAAAGATAAAAAGAAGAGTCAAGTTGCCTTAAAAATTAACCAAGTCCTTTGAGAAAAAGGGGATGTCGCCAAAGTTCTCAGAATTGATGTCATACTATAGGGAAGATTTATTTAAGTCTCTAATCATTAATTTTTAGAACTTTGGATATAAGTTTTCCTGATAAAACAAGTGAATTCAGCCCCCCAACTGCTTGAAAAGATATACTGAATATAGTTGGAAATGGAATTTGAGCTATAGGTTCTCCCCCTACACTTGGGTGGGTTTGCTGTCATTACTTCCTCCCCTTGTCAATTGGGTTGCTAAGTTACCTCCCTAGGCCATCTATCTCCTGCTTCCTGACATTTGCCATTTCTTCTATTTTATTGTACATTTAATGTCAAAGGCTCACATCAAGTATTCAAATATAAGTTTCTTTGCATCAACTGTGTTTATAGAAGGAACATGATATATGTAAGGGTAAAAATATCAATACATAAGGAAATATAAGCCAAAAATCTAAAGCCAGTATGAATCTATCTATAGAACCCAAATGATTGAAAAGACAAATCCCATTTTCCCATTAGCCTTCCGATGCATATTTGTAAAAATAAATGCCTACTCACATGGCATAAGATGATGAAATCAATGTGATGGATCATTGATTCACACATGTAATATTGTGCAAGAAATAAAGACTGTCACATGTTTGGAAATAGAATCTACTATTTACTTAATTGTCATGTGTTAGACTTGTGTTAAGTGCTTTGTCATTTGGATTCTGCTTCCCAACTTGGGTTACTAGGATTGGCAGCAGGAATCTTCCCTCACTAAGTCATCTTGCTGGTTCCCTAAACTTCAGTCTTGTTAGGTCTGAAAAAGAGGAAAATTAGGACTGGTGGCAGGGCTTGATGTATAAAGGGGTTTGTCACAAAAGCTTGGCCACCCAAGTTCCGTACCCCAAACACATAAAGTGGAGGGAGAGAGCTAACTTACAAAGTAGACCTTTGACCTCCACACTCTTGCTTGTTGCTTGTATTCTCTCTCTCTCTCTCTCTCTCTCTCTCTCTCTCTCTCTCTCTCTCTCTCTCTCTCTCTCTCTCTCTCTCTTCTTGCCATTACCAAAATAATAAGTAATTTTTACAAGGAGAATATTAAAATCATGGCATGTGTCTCATACAATTACTATTTCAAAATAGAGGATGCTTGCAGAATTCTTGGCAAAGCCATGGCTGTTGGCATTATTTTTTACTATAAACAGATAAGAAAGCACAATTTAGTGGAGTTTAAATAACTTTCCTCAGCTCATAGAGTAAGTAAATGGAAGAATGCAAGTGCTACTGGCCAGTGAACCAGGGCAGGATAAATTAGAGTAGAAATGAAAGAATATATGTATATGATATATGTTATGAAGATAAATACCCCTGATGTGCTATAACAAAAGGGAGAATGAATGCATTATTCCATTCCAGGTCGTGAGTCAATGGCAGTGGAAAGCGACCCTTGGAATGGAATCTGCTGCCACCTCAGCTGCCTCCACTGGATCTGGATTGTGTGAGAGCCTACACACTCTGGAGGCTGGTGCTCTCTCCTCATCTCTGCTGCCCCCTGGCTATGGGAAACACCAGAAGCTGTCCCATGCCATTAGACTCAAGGAACACCATCAATGCTCACCCTGTCTCTCCTTCAAGTGTCCATCAACTTCTCCAACTGTACAATGTAACAAAAGAGATGTGGCAAAAATGTCTGAAAACTGTAATTTGTAGGCGTCTGCCCCGGAAGTCCAGAGTGTACAGGTCAGATAATGAGGCTTAGAGAAAAAGAAGCAACAGAGGAGATGTCTCAGAAGGTAGAACTCTAGGAGGAGGGAATGGTTTGCTCTTTGGGTAATGGATAACACATGATATGGAAGGGTAAATGCTCCTGCTCTCAGAAATCCGGTCAAATATGATCCATTATTTGCCGGAATAAACCTATAAAAGTTAATTAAATTTCGTTATCTATGACCATGTCTTAACATAACAGAGAAGCTTGCTAATTGAAGGAAAACATAATATATGTATAGACAGCAATGGAACTCTTACATATTTCCTCTCTTATCGGTTCTGCTGAGCAGGATTGCATTTTCTCTCATCTGTAAGAAACTTTAATAATGGAGGAAGCTATAGCAATGAAGGTCTGTGGGCACATTGACTACAATTCTGTTGTTCTTTTGTGATGATTTGCCTACAGCATTCTTAGAAAGAAGAATATCGATGCTTTGGCATGACTCTCCTCAAGCAACTACAATGTGTTTAAGTGTGTAGCATGCTCTCAAGTAATTTCCCTTGAAGATAGCATGGGAGACTCATAATTCTGTGTAGAGTGTTCCTTTCTGTCTGTGTGGACATCTAACTTTATTTACTTCTTCTGCTTTCCTTTTCTTTACACAGTTAAAGCAGAAAGCACCTGTTGTGAGACGTTCAGTTGTAAAAAGGGCTGACATAACAAACAAACAAACATGCCTAACGCTATTATTTGAATGTGAAAAGCCGTCATAGATCCGTGTGTTTGAGCACTTGGGGGTATTGTTTCTGGAGTCTGTTAAACCTTTTGAAACATTAGAGGAAGTGGATCATTGGGAGATAAGCTTAGAGGGTTGGACCGCTGGCTGTGGTCTAGCTTCACCCTTCCTGGACAGATGGAGATATGGCTAATCCACTGCACATTCCCCCACCATCATAATGCCATATCTTCCCCAGAGTGAAGCTATGAGATAAAATGAGTCTGTCTTTAAGTTACTTCTTGTCAGGTTACTAAGACAAGGAATGCTACTGCTATACCAATCAAATTATCACTAGTTATCTAGAGAAACAATTGTTCTTTATATCTTATTCAAATACCATCTTTACACTTCCTGCATTTTGAACTATTTAAAAAAATAATTGATGCCTTTACTGTTAATTATGAAACTCCAATAGACTACATACATAGTAGAGGGTGTTTCTTAAATTGCTAATATTCACATAGTTATAGTGGTAACTTGATATCTTCATTAGCATTAAGGACTGTGCTAAAATAACTAATAATGAATGCTTCATTAAGCATTTGGCACCCAACACAAAGAGAAACAAGTTAGTTTTTTACCATCTGTCTACTCTCCTAGATTGTTTTCCTTAAATCCCAGAAAAGTAAAGATGACTGTCTGCAGTAACCATGATGGAAGCATAGCTCATTCTGCCACCTGCAGCAGTCTGAAGAATTCCCTGCATCAGTTAGGAATAGCAAGTCAACCGGCTTTGTAGCAGGGCAGAATTTCAGGATAAGCCAATATTCCATAAAACTGGAGTGCATTAAGAAAAAATATTTTATAGAAAATCATGTGTTTCACAACCTCATGTGTCATTGCTAATACTTAATATTTTCTCTTTTGTAATATTTGTGTGTGAGTGAGAATTCTGTCTGCTTGTGTGTGTGTGTGTGTGTGTGTGTGTGTATCATATATGTGCAGTGCCTCAGAAGAAGGCACCAGATACCCTGAAAATGAAGTTACAGATGGTTGTGAGTGGCTGTGTGGGGGTGCTGGGTACTGAACCCAGGTCCTCTGCAGGAGCAATAAGTGATCTTAACCACTGAAGTATCCATCCCTGCAGCCCCTTGATTAATGCTTTCAATTCCTTGTATAGCCTAGATATTAGCACACTGTGGATATGTAGTTAGCAGTGTTTTCCCCCACTCTGTAGGCTTTTGCTGGACTAAAAAAGCACATTGTTTTTGTCATATTGGAGGTTTTTAATCTCATGAGGTCATGTTTGTCTATTGTTGTAATGATCAAAAATTTTAGTGATTTTCCCTTCTTCAATTTTCACTATTTTTTAAATATTAGGGGCAAAATGGCTCAGAGCATATGAACTTTTTATCCCTGCTTCTGTTGTCTGATTCTTCACCTACTTAGAAACTTGGATCACTCCCCACACCTCTCTTATTCCTTGATGTTTTGTTTTGAGACAGAGACTCATGATGCCAAAGCTGGCTCCAAATCTACTGTTTACTCCAGGTCTTCCTGCTTCTAATTCTCAAGTGCTAACCACATCTGGGCACTACAGTAATGGATGTTCTTTATTTCCTTTGAAGATTTTCCTGAATATCCCAACTCAGAGGGATCCCTGGAGCCTTCGGGAAATTTTACAGTGGCACCTGGGACTTTATGCCATTATGGTTAAGACTGACTCAAGAAGGTGCTACCCCCCTTGCTTAACAGTTGTACTGCATGAGAACATACCTCTTCCACTTATGTATGTCCCTCTTTATCCAAGAAAGCCGGGTGTGATATTGAACACTTAGCAAAAGCCTAAATATGTTTCAAATGCAGAACTGGTTTAGCAAACTTTCTATTGTATTCATACAGAGGATACTGACTTTTGCAGATGTTAAATAATTTGCCTAAATCCATAGAACAGGTGCATTAGATACCTCAAATTTAAACCTATGTCTCTTTAAGTTTCAGTGTCTGAGAGAATTTTTCAGGGGACCTTAAAAGCTGTTGAGGGGTGAAGCAGGTCTTTATTCATCACTCAACAGCTTTGTGCCTACAAGCTTCCTCCCAGTTTCTCCTAAAGTCATAGGTCCCTTGGTTCAAATCCTGGGTTTGAATGTTCAAGATTCCCAATGCCCATCTCATGAACACACTCACAATGATGAGGTCATATCCTAACTGTGCTCACCAACCTCTGCCACATCTTCCCAGGTACGTCCCCAGGCTTCAGTGAGCCCAGTGGAATCCATAGGATGGGTTCTGAAGTGTAAGTAGATTCCTGCCTCCAAAATCTCTGTTGTCTTGCTTTCCAGTTCCCCGGGTGGCTGGAGAGAGTTCTAGGAAGAGTGGGCAATCAGAGCTGTTTAGCAGGCATAGCCTAATTCTCAGAGCAGAAATGACTTTGGGTAAGGTAAGGGGTTGAGATATCCCCATCTTCTCATCACTTGCCCCTAATAATCTAATGAGTGCACACCTCTGGAAGGAATTCCACTTACCAATGTAGAAATTGCCCTCTGATGGAGATGAAGTAGGAGCTGGGGACATTCCTCATTTGGCAGAGTGTTTGTCTAGCACATATAAAGCCATGGCTTCATTCTAATCACCATATAAACAGGCATGTTGGTACATGAATTCAACCCCAGTGCTGGGGATTATTTGTAGCAGGATCAGGAATTCAAAGTCATTTCTGGATATGTGACAAGTTAGAGGCCAGTTTGAGCTGCACGAAACCCTGCTATAACAATGACAATGATGACGACGACAAAATTAAGTAGTTTTGTCAGAACCTCATAGCTGGTGTAGGACAAGCCTCATCTTCTTTCTAAGACTTAAAATAGTAAAGCCTCAGATCTTATACTGTCAGCCATGATGGCCATCAAGAGGCTCACAGCACAATGCCTAGAGATGTTTTCCATCAGTTAGGAAGCTCCACTATTTTACTGATGAGCAAAGTGACCTGAGATACACATGACAGGTATTGGGTGGGGGAGAAAAGGCAAACATCTTTTCAGCACACATGCACCATCTTCCCTCTTTCATTAAAGGGTAATGATCCATCTTTATCATTTCCATGAACACTTAGGCTAGACCATTCAAGCACAGCGTCTCATGTGGCTACAAAATAAACAGAGCCTCAGTGAGGTACTGGGAAATATAGTCTCGGGCCAAATGTTAAACTGGAGGTAGTTGATAGTGTCAAGAAGGCCTGCAAGCCAGCTTCCATAACAACACCCCCTTCAGGAATATTCAAGTCATCGATTTTGCATTCGTGTAGTTAAGAAAACAGTGTATTTTTTCTATGATACGAAGGAAAGTTAAAGGGATAGCGTAGGGTTTTCATCTGTTTTTCAGGCTTTATTGCTTTACGTAAGCCTCTGAGTTAAACTGGTGGAAGAATGAAACCAAACAAAATTGGACATTATGTGTAGTCCATTGCCACCATTGTTCCTTTCGGTTTATCCTGGTTTAAGCCTCTAGTTCTACGTCTCTATTGCCCAGTTCTTCTCTGTCTTTAAAACTTTGCCAAGGATTCAAGGACCACTTTAGATTTTTTAAATGTGTGTGTATATGTGTGTTCCTGTGAGCACACACACTCAATGTCCATGTGTATTTGTTTCCATGTACATGTGCGTGCACAGTATGTGTGTGTGTGTCTGTGGTGCGTGTGTGTGTGTGTGTGTATGTATGTGTGTGGTGTGTGTGCATGTGTGTGGTGTGTGTATGTGTGTGTATGTTTGGTGTGTGTGTATGTGTGTGCATGTGTGGTGTGTGTGTATGTGTGTGGCGTGTGTATGTGTGTGTATGTTTGGTGTGTGTGTATGTGTGAGCATGTGTGGTGTGTGTGTGGTGTGTGTATGTGTGTCTGGTGTGTGTATGTGTGTGGTGTGTGTGTATGTGTGTGGTGTGTGTGGTGTGTGTATGTGTGTATGTGTGTGGTGTGTTTACATGTGTGTGTGGTGTGTGTCTGTATGTGTGTGGTGTGTGTGTATGTGTATGTGTATGTGTGTGGTGTGTGTGCATGTGTGTGGTGTGTGTATATGTATGTGTGTGGTGTGTGTGTATGTGTGTGGTGTGTGTGTATGTGTGTGGTGTGTGTGTATGTGTGTGGTGTGTGTATATGTGTGTGGTGTGTGTGTGGTGTGTGTATATGTATGTGTGTGTTTGTGTGTGGTGTGTGTTTGTGTGGTGTGTGTGTATGTTGTAGTGTGTGTATGTGTGTGTTGTGTGTGTTTATGTGTGTGTGTGGTGTGTGTGTATGTGTGTGTGTGGTGTGTGTATATGTGTGTTTGTGGTATGTGTGGTGTGTGTGTGTGGTGTGTGTGGTATGTGTGTGGTGTTTGTGGTGTGTGTGGTGTGTGTGTGTGGTGTGTGTATATGTGTGTGTATGGTGTATGTGGTGTGTGTGTGGTGTATGTGGTGTGTGTGTGGTGTATGTGGTGTGTGTGTGTGTGTGTCTGCATGTGAAGCAGCTGTGTATGCACCAGGGACTACGTGGGAAGGTCAGAGAACGAGCTCAGGTGTTGGTCCCCACCCAGTTTGACATAAGGTATTTTTGTGTTATTGTGCTGTATCTTCCAGCCGGCTCACTGACCTGCAAGCCTACAGGGATCTCCTGTCTCCTCCATCTCCCCAAGGAGCACAGGGGTCTCAGATATTGTGTAACATGCCCAGTTTTTATGTGGGGGTACAGAGATTTGAGCTTGGGTTCTCACACATTTGCCTTTACCTATGAAGCCATCTTACTAGACTTGTTTTGGCTCCTTTAAGTTTTGCTCAATGCTAAAATTTTATTAGCTCCTGAATTCTGGAAGAAAATTCTTTAGACAGGATCTTTGGTATTATACTCTCTCCCCTGATACTCTATCCCCATTTTAGCTGGAGATAAAAGATGGTGTAAAGAATTGCATTCTGTATGCTGCCTTTTGCAAACAGCACTAGCCTTATGAAACCTTTGCCTTACAGGTTCCCCTTAAGCTCTGTCTTCCCTCCCAGAAGTTATAACATATGTCACAAATAGAACAAATATCTGCCTTTTCCAGGTTCCATTAACTCCGTGAAAAGGGCTCAGCTAGTGCCTTTATCCTCACCCTCTGAAGTTGAGCTCACTCTTTGCTGATGGTGATATTTGGAACTTGATGGGACACCAGATGTCCTGGCAGCCTTTCGTTAATGTGGAACTCTATGATCAGAAAGCTGAGTGCCTATATTTGCATATGAAACTGTTCTCTATGGCAGTGCTGGGAATATTAAGTGGGTAAGTTCCAGGGAGCTCTGGAGACTTGAGTCCTTAGCAATGATTTAGGAAGACCTGTTGCAAACAACTCCAGTTAAATTAGCAATCTGTGCAGTGGATGGCCTTGATATGGGCCTTAAGAGTATCTCACATCCAGCTAGAACGTATGGCCCTCCATTTCCCTGAGTGCTCTGGGGATGGATAAAAAGAGGATGAAGATTCTACCCTAAGGGAACTTACATTCTAGTTGTCTCAGACCCACACGTAAGAACTTTATAAGGTGACATACGAGCAAGGTGAGAGTGTGAGGCACACTGTTGTGTGAGCACTGCAGGGAACACGTGAGAATAAGATAATGCCGTTGCCTTTTTATACATTACATACCTCTCAATTGAATGCAGCACACATATCATCACTTGTTATAAATAAGCTAGTCGTAACTTTCAAGGCTGAAAATAAGCCAAAGGTTATCTTCTAATGGTACTTTATTAACATACAAAAAATGAAAATCCACTGTTACTTCTTTGCTCGAGAAGTGCAGTGTTTCTTTTTATGTAAGTTTCTCTGAATGCTCTGTGTCTGTTCTTGTTCATAGTTTTGGACAGTTTCTAAGTGACATGATTTCTTTTGTCTTCCATATCTTCCAGCGGCCATATTTTCATGAAAACCCTTCATCTTTTGAAAAGAAATCCAAAGTAATCACAAGAAATATTCAGATGGAACGTTTGTGGCCCACCTAGCCGGATCTACAAATATCAGGCCATCTGAAACCCTCAGCTCTTGTGAAACATCTAGTTGTCAGTTACTGTGCTATACTCTAAAATTGTCTCATTCACAAGCAAGAATGCTGTAACAAGACACAAAAACACAAGGGTCATCATCAAATATAGACAAAAAAAACCAAGTGTAGTGCAAAGTGCTGCTTAGGCTCACCAACCAGCCACCAGGAGTCCTTTGGGAAGATTTTGAAACAGTGGGTGACAAGTCACGAAAGCTGCAGGAATGTCAAGCCCAAAACCTTGGCTACAGAATCGGAGTCTAAAGAAATGACGGTGGCTTACTTTATTCTTTCTCAAGACCCTGATTAGAATACCATAGTGAAGGCACCCAGTTCGGCACTTGTTTCACAAGACTACAGTAGGAACCGAGAGGCAGCAGAGAGAAAAACAAAGTTGAAATAGAACTGAAAAAAAAAAAAAGAATAGAACTGTGAAGACAGGCTTAATCTCTTAAAGATATTTTCCAGGTGGATTGACTGAGCTGTGCAATGTTTCCAAACCCGTAGATAAATCTCCTGGTCAATCCTGGTGTCACCAATGACCCTTAAGATTGGCCCTCCACCTCTGTCATGAAAACATTTCACGGATGCTTTATTCTCTCTTGAAAAGGAGACACACCTAGGTTTTGGAATGTGGGCTTTCCCATTCCAGGCTAAGGGTGAAGTGTGCTATGGTTGGATTAAATCTTTACTGCAGGGATGTTTGAGAATAAAGCCACAGGGTTGTTTTTATTAAATTTAAAATCATGGGTAGCATGTTGAATGTCCTTCATTCTGTCTGTCCCATTGTTTAAATTCATCAAATAGTCACCCTGGAATTATTTCTAACAATTGGGATGACTTCATTTGTGTTTGTTTTCCTTTTCTATTAATACATGACAAACTGTGAAATTTACCATTTGACCATAACCACGCCATGAAATTTGTCATCTCACTCTGTAATTTACATGGAGCCTTAGCTCTAGATACATTTCAGAAAGGATGATTGCTTTCTGTCTGATGCAGAGAACAGAACAAAGGAGGATTGCACACAGCACATAACGGAAGCAATTCGGAACAGACATCAGGAGGGATTTCCATGCCTGTCTCCCCGCCCGCCTTTAAGGCTGCAAAACCCACTGACCTGCACCCACTGCTTCCCAAGGAAGAGGGTGATGGGACAAACCAAGGTCCTGCAGCCCAATCCAAGAAGCAGTGGAATAACATTCTGGGAGAGATTATTTAAAAGCAGAGGTGGTCTGACAAATGGGAATTGGTTGGAGGGGATGTGGTAGGAAATGTATTGTGTAATGTGGGGAGTCATTTGGAAGCAGAGTTTCAGAAGAAAGCTGTCAGAACGGTACAAAAACTTAAAACTTGTTGACAAGCTATTGTTCAAAGGAACCATGAACTTCCCCATTCTCTTTCCACTCCCTCTTCTTTAAAATTGAATTCAAATTGGATTCTTCTATTTGAGATACACACACACACACACACACACACACACACACACACACACAAACATGTCTTCTGAACAATATGTGGTTAAAGCTACTTTTCAGGAAAGATCCTGCATCTGTTTCTAATGAACTTCTTGGTTTATAAAGAGGAGTAAAAAAATCTTCCTGCTCCGGGGTCCCACATCAGAGCCTCCCTGCCCCCTGCTCCCACAGCAGAGCCTCCCTGATAAGAACAGGAGTCCGTCGCCCCGTGTCTGCTGTGCCAAATACCTGCGGACTGAGAAGTCTGAGAAGACAAGTTAAAATTGTGTCAATAACAAACCACACACTGTAGAGGAGGGCTACTGAGCTAGTAGACTCTACATAATTTCACCGTGGATACGGCTTTGGTGCTTTTTTCCCTCAATATATGTTTTTATTTAAATTAGAAACGTGAATGTTTCACAAGTCAGTCCCAAATCCCTCTCCCACCCCTCCTCCCTTGCCCCTCCACCAGCCCCTCAGCCCCCCCCAGCCCCCACCCAATCCCCACCCAATCCCCACATCATTCCCCAGGGAGGGTGAGGACCTCCTTGGGGGGGATCTCCAAAGTCTATCGTTTCACCCAGGGCAGGACCTAGGCCCTTCCCCATGTGTCCAGGCTGAGAGAGCATCCCTCCATGTGGAATGGGCTCCCAAAGTTCATTTGTATGTCATGGTGACCACTAATCTACTACCCAAGGCCCCAGAGATTTCTGTGGCCTCCTCCCTGGCACTACATTCATGGAGTCTGGATCAGTCTCCTGCTGGCCTCTCAGCCATCAGTGTGGGATTCAAGAGGTGCTTTTTATTTGAAAGAGAAACATGGCAGTGTTTGGGAGTAGACACGTGGCTACAAGGCAACGAGGTGGGGGAGGAGCTGCCCAAGCCACGGCTCCCTCCTCGGTGGTCCTGTTTCCTCCGGAGCAAACGGGAAGTGGGAGACCAGATGGGTGGCGCACAGCCGCTTGGGCTCCTGGGCACTGGGCAGGGTGATGCAGGATCTGTTACAACTGAGTCATCATTTACACTACCTGAGAGGCCTCCGTTTCCTAGAGCAGTGTGACAGGCTGAAAGCAGACTCTCACTCAGTTCTATGGTGGGCGTCTAATAGGAGGTGATTGAAGAGAATGGTGCTGGGCCGGTTGCCTCAGGAACCACGGTTGTCTTCACCTGGAGTGAGTACAGTTTTCATGGACAGCAGGGAACCTCAAAGGCACATTTTGTAATCACTTTTATGGCCCCTTTCACTGATTTCTTAATACAAAGTAGGTCTTGGCTTTCTCAAGTTGCCAGTTGTTACTACATAAGCCACCTGCTTCCGGTACATTTTAACCTCTGCCTCATCTTGCAAACCTCAACTAAGAAAATAGCTGATTCTCATAATTATGGAGAAAATACAGCAGAAAAAAAGAAAGAACATCACTCAAAAGTTTCCATTCCATACCAATCATTGTTCAAACACGGACAGCTTGCTGTTTCTGCCCCTTTCCAATCAACAGCTTTCTCCTTGTTGATATTGCTTTTCTTAGTGCATTTTTTGTATCTTGTCATTGTTGATGTTTTTGTTTCTTTTTATTTTTGAGACAGGATTTTTATATATAACTTGGATGCCCTGGAACTCCACTGTGCAGTTGAGGTTGACCTTAAACTCTTCTTTTCCTAACGTTTTTATATCCATTCCTCTCTCTCCTTCTCCCCACCCCCACTGTGTATGTGTGTTGGGGGGCACATGAATGTCATTATACCTATGCGGATGTCATAAGTCAACTTGAGTCCTTTCTCTCCTTCATCATGTCAGTTCTGGAGATCAAATTCAGGCCCTCAGGCTTAGTAGTAGGAGTCTTTATCTGCTCAGCTATCTTGATATCTAGCCCTGACCTTGAACCCTTAATCTTCCTGCCTAAGCTAGAATTACAGCTATGTGCCCTCTAATGCCCAGAAACACCTTTGCTTCAAAATATTTGAGTAGACACAATAATTGTGAGTGTTTATTTCAATTCATGTATACAGTGTATCATCTATCTATCCATCTATCTGTTCATCTATCAACCACCATCATCTATTCATCTATTTTTATTAAGAATAGTGGTTGTTAAAGGCCTGGAAGCATAGAGAGTTTAGTTAGGTAGAAGGAGTAGCCTCTAATATTCTATCCTATAATAAGATAATTGAAGTTGACAAGAATTCATTGCATAATTGCAAATAGCCACTATAGAGGATCTTTTGATTGTTTGTGCTGGCAAACAAACCCAGTGTTTTATCCCTGCTAAACAAGGGCTTTAGCAATGAGTTACATCCTAACACTCCTTAGATTATTTTGAATATATACATATATTTTTACATAGTTTAGTTTAGTTTGAATTTTATATTGAAATATCAGTACATTTATAAGCATCATTTTTAACTTTTTAACTTAATTTTATTTTTTTACTCATTTTACATACCAACCACAGTTCCCCCTACTCTCCTCCCCTCACCCACACCTCTTCCCCACCCACCCCCATCCACTCCTCAGAAAGAGCAAGGCCTCCCATGGGAAGTCAACAAAGCCTGGCACATTCATTTGAGGCAGGACCAAGCCCCATCACCCCCATCCCTGAATCAAGGCTGAGAAAGGCATTCCATTATATGGAATGGGCTAGGGATAGATCCTGGTCCCACTGCCAGCAGTCCCACAAACAGACCAGGCTACAAAACCATCACCCACATGCAGAGGGACTGGTTCAGTTCAATGCAGACTTCCCAGCTGTTAGTCTAGAGTCCATGAGTGAGCTCCCAGAAGTTCAGGTCAACAGTCTTGTGGGTTTCCTTGTCATGATCTTGACCCGCCTTACTCATATAATTCCTCCTCCTTTTCTTTGACTAGAGTCCCATAGCTCAGCCTGATGATTGGATGTGGATCTCCACATCTGCTTCCATTAGTTACTGGCTCTATGATGACAGAGTAGTCACCAATCTGATTACAGGGTAATGCCAGTTTAGGCACACACTCCCCACTATTTCTGGGGGTCTTAGCTGGGGTCATCCTTGTGGATTCCTGGGAATTTCCCTATCATCAGGTTTCTCCCCAGCCCTGTAAAGCCTCCTTCTATCATGATATCTCTTTCCTTTCTCTCCCACTCCATTCCTTTCCCAAGGTGACCATACCAGTTCCCTCATGTTCTCAACCCTCATCCGCTCCCCTTTGTTGCCCCCCCCAGTTTACCCAGAAAATCTCATATATTTCCTCTTCCCAGGGAGATCTATGTGTTCCTCTTAGGGTCCTCCTTGTTACCTAGCTTCTCTAGAGCTGTGGGTTGTAGTCTGCTTACCCTTTACTTTACAGAGAATATCCACTTATGAGCAACTACATACTGTGTTTCTCTTTCTGGGTCTGGGTTACCTCACTCTGACTGACTTTTTTCTAGTTCCATCCATTTGCCTGCAAATTTCACGATGCTATTATTTTTTCACAGTGGAGTAATATTCCATTGTGTAAATGTACCACATTTTCTTTATCCATTCTTCAGTTGAGGGGCATCTAGGTTGTTTCCAGGTTCTGGCTATTATAAATAATGCTGCTATGAACATAGTTGAGCAAGTGTCCTTGTGGTATCATTGAGCACCCTTTGGGTATATACCCAAGAGTGGTAATGTTAGGTCCTGAGGTAGACTGATTCCAAATTTTCTGAGAAACTCCTATACTGATTTGCAAAGTGGCTGTCCAAGTTTGTACTTCCACCAGCAGTGGAATAGTGTTCCCCTTATTCCACATCCTTTCCATCATAAGCTGTCATCGGTGTTTTTGATCTTAGACATTCTCACAGGTGTAAGATGATATCTCAGAGTTATTTTGATTTGCATTTCCCTGATGACTAAAGATGTCCTCAAATGTCTTTCAGTAAATGCTAGCATATTGCCTTAAGATTCCTTTCTGATTAACCTTTTCAATTATACTTATTTTTATGTTTATGCATATTGTAATAATCATATTTGTTTGTATGTTTTTGTGGACAGTTCTGACTATTTTGAAGAAAATGATTCCACCACATTTAGTCATTAGCTAGGGAGCTAGGCCTCAGTGGTGTGGCTTTAGCATGGGACTGGGTAGTAGATTTCAGAGAATTGTTCTTGGAGTCCTCAGGCAGCAATGCATGGCTTCTCACTGCTGCCTTCCCACAGCTGCCACAATAACAGAGAAAATAAGAGAGTATGATTTACAACTAAAGAAAATACCTAAGTTCAGCTTTGCTGGGGATCATAGCAGTGTACTAAATCCCAGGGCAGTGCAGAAGGGGTCCCTTT